CCAGAGCAACACCGTGTTGCTCCGTCGGCGATAGTGTGCGCAGCATTGCAGCTACAGCCGCTTCTTCGATGACTGTTGACAGTCGTTGGAGTGCCTCCCACTCTGGATCCGACAGGTGGAGGCAGTCAGCGCGTGCAACATGAGTTGCAGGCGAAGTGGAGCTTTCCATGGGCACCTCCGCGCTCATGAAAAGGTTCTCGGCTCCTCGTTCGTACAGCTCCGTACGAACGTTCAGGTAGTCGGTCGTTGGACGGACAACAAAGTGCTACCAGGTGTAATGGGCCTAATTTGGCTCACTACTTTAGCTTACACGTGTGCGCACGTGTATGAGGAAGCGTGGGTTTCTTTACTTGAGTTAAATATACTCGAGATCCACGAGTATACTTTAAACAAGATAAAGACTCCAAGTAGCGGGTTTTGGTAAAAGATGAGAACTGCTATTTTTGTTTTATATTTCTGACTTCCTCTAAATGTAATATTCTAAACTAGGAATCTGCCAACGGCTGGTTGGCAGGATTCTGCTAACATGCAAGCCACTCATTGGCTAAAAGATGCTGCTTTCTGCCAATAGGAATCCTAAATGTGTATGGACCACCCGACGTGGTGGTCGTAAATGTATGTAGCCATTGGTGTACCTTACATCAAGGTCGAGGAAGTGTTCAAACCTCTAACATACATCGCATCTGTTAGAGTAACAAGTGACTGTAGCCACTTGTACGTGTAACCCCGTTACAAGTGTGGAGCGCGTTAAGTCCACGGAGGTTATCCGGGTGCATCGCTGCTGTTCCTGCTGTTCAAGCCCGCGTAGCTCGCCGCTGTACCGTGCGCCACTCCTCACTTGTGCGCTGGCCGCCGCTGCCGTGCGGCTCCGAGTCGAGCTTGAACGCGCGCACTTTGGCCGTCACCCACAAACGAGACTGGCGCCCGCGTATCGATGCCCACGACACCTCCATGGTGCATCTGGCGGTGCGTGGGTTCCACGCGTGTGGACGCGGAGCCCGACGAGGTGTGCGCGCAATCGGACAAGGCCGGCTCGGACGTCACGATGACGCGCCAGCGCTGCTGCCGCTGGTCGCCCAAGGTTGGTCGCAGTGCAGCGTCTTAGGTTCCGAGAGGTTGTTACCGTGCTGCGGCTCGCTACGAGTTGATGCACTTTATTTTTTCTTAGCCAAGCAGAAGGGAATCACCTCGTTGTGGCTACTAGGTATTCTAAAGTTTATGTACCATGGTAAACTAATTTTACGAGATATATGCCAATTGCCAACAGTAGACTGTCGATGTTGATTGAGAGTGTGAACGAAAACGAACCCAGGTGTGCACTGCTTTGACTGAGAGGCGCATACAGCTCTCAGTGTACAGAAGTCTCGAATGGAATACAATTGAGCACCACCCATAGAAGCATGAACAGCGTCTGGTATTGCAACTAATGTATCTTGCTTTCAAGAACAGTTGGGAAGGGAATGTTCCATTGCGGCGGCGACGCGTTCTACCTATTTGATAGTAAGTCTTAGGTGATAGTACATAGCAATGGATGCAATGATTTTGAGCACGACCCACCTGCCAAATACCTCTTGAACCAAGATAACCGGTCAAAATGGGCACTCTTCACCTGGAGAAAGCACCACAAACTATTGCTACAGCAGGAAGCCGAACGGGGCACGCGCGAAGGAACAAGTCATGGCATGATCCAAAGTTGTGAATGTTTGGTTCAGGTCTTCCGATTCGGTCTCACAATCGGCATGTTCAAATCCTGGACCTGATCTGCATAAGAACCAAAATAAAGGCAACCGAAACGAGCTACTCCTAATGCTGCGGCTCCTGCTAAACAGTGGAGCTGCAGTTACCGTCATCTAAGTTGTCGTTAAATGGGCATCTAGTTTGTCGTTATAGTTCACTTGATTCTTCCTGATCATCAGGATTCCGTTATGCACGGGACACTGTAATCTTACTTTGCGTTAGCCACAAGATTCATTGTCGCAGTCTGGAGATTGCCTGCACTACAGATGGTCATACTGTAGTGGTGGACCACCACTGGTGGCTTGCTTCGAGTTGGGCTGATTGTTGAGTGAATTCAATATAGGAAGATTCCGCTTGGTACCACTCACGCTTATGGTACCTGCTGACCGCCCTTCTCAACGTGAGATACTCGGTCAGGTAGGTAAGCGACACAAGGGAACCTGGCGGTAAAATGTACATGTACAAGCCCCTTTCGTGAAAGCCGCATGTCACACCTTGAGCTCTGCGTTATTTCCTGACCAACTACAGTGCAAGTTGCACTTTCAAAGCGCGACTCGAATAACTTACGCTACTGACGTGCCTCGATAACGCATTACAGCCCAATGATGAGAAAAAAAGCCATCAGACCATGTCGCTCTAGTTTGGTTCCCTCTCTGTTACCTGATCCTGCCCACTGCTGAAATTGTACGGAGCATTTTTACATTTGTACAGGCGCCTTGGCGGCCCGAGGTGGTAGCGCTGCATCTCCATCCTCCGCAGTTTCGCTGACGAAGAAAGCGAGGACAAGTCACACGTGGAAGCGGCGTAAGGAGGAACTACTCGACCTTCGGAAGGAGATCCACGACCTGGAGAAATGCCCGAGTGTCTGAAGATGCAGAGGCATTTCACAAAGTTGCTGGACGAGTTCGTCCAGCTCTCAGGTGAGGAAAAGCACTGGAAGGAGAAGGCGCTGATGGCGAAATGACAATGCCGAGAGGCCCTTGCTGAGAAAACGAAAGCTGATAAAGACGGTCATCCGCTGCCAGCAGAGTCTGCTGAAGCGGGAGCGGGACGGAACTGCGAGCATGCACTCGCTTTGCTTAATGAAACCCATGGTAGTTCTAGGAATGGGTTTAGGTTGGGTGATGGTGTTCTCGGCCAAGACCAACACGAATCATGAACTGTGCTGGTTGACGTCCACGAAAAGCAGCGACTCTGCGGAATTCAGGTCCAGTCATGATCAGAAAAGTACCTCGCTGCTTGCACGAGGCGCCAGGGAAGAGTGGAGTATTGATTCCATGCATGCTGGAAGTTGATAAAGGCACGATGTCAGCTGCTGGAGAACGCGCTACATGCTCAACCAATTGGAGTTTACCTTGAAGCATACTTGTCACAAGTATATCGTGACACCGCAGCTTGTTCATTTACATTTATCATCTTCTCGCGCAATTCAGCCTTCACGTCACTGGCAGCGGATCGCGTCGAACAATGCGTTCCCCACAAACTGGTGCCGCGCTTTCACGAGCTGTCGATAGCATGGAATTAAAACTTCTTTGATTGCGCTCGTCTTCGCACTCGAAAACCCCTGAGAGCTGCCAGTACGTTCATCAGGGTGCAGGCAAAGCCTGGATTGAACCTGGCACACACCCTGCGACGTGCCTCGGGGGGAGTAGCTGCCCATCACAAAGAAGCCCCCTTCTCTCATCGCATGGCGCCACGTTTCGGTCCCTGGGATGTTCACGGTCCAGGTCGAGCACGACTCGGCCATCATTGCAACGCCATAAGCCGTGCCGAACCGCTTCATTACACCGTGAGAGTCGATAATCGCAACACCGCCATCACCAAGCTGTGAGTGCTGAGGCCAAATCCATCTTCAGACCGATGTATATGCTGAAACTGCTCGAAAACGGGGTCGTTATCACGAAGTAGCCCAAGTTACAAAGCGTTGGAAGCGTACACGCTGCAGTTTGCGTCGGCCACGAGCGGAAAAACCACTGTAGAAACCGTGAAGAACCTATTCGCCGCTGATGACCGTATCGGGGCGGTTAGCGCCGCTGTGAAACTGGAATGAGAAACGGCCATGCCCTTGGATATGGGGACTAGTAGGACCATTGAAACCAGTTCACTTTTAGCACCAAAACTTACTTCAAAAAGTAAGTTTAAGTAATGTAAGTTTGTGGAGCTGGCATACCTTCTTCTAGTCCGTCTCCCACATGCGTCAATTTCTTCTCTACGTTCAAGACTCTACAATACTTGCATCTAGGTGAACCTGCGTATGGGATCTGATAAAGTGTAAGAAGGACGGCGACCCAGACTACAGTACAGACTGCGATGGACAGGCTTACAAATGGGGCTTTTATAGAGACGGACCAGAACTCCCACTAACAGTCCTAAAAGATTCCATTTTTAACTAAAAATGTTAGCCCTTTGACTGCCAGAAAGGTTTGAAGCTCAGTAAGGATGCCCTGAAGCGTGGAAGAGCTCGTGAAGACTTAGGAAGGCTTTAGAAAGCTGCAAAAGGTTGCATGTTTTGGTCTAACACGATACTAAGCAAAATACGCCGTGGATTGTACTACCTCGGCACCTGTGGCCGCCCCGACACTTACCCCCGTTCGATAGAAATGCAGACAGCGCACTGATCAGTGGCTAGGTTTACTATTATAACTTACGAGAGTAAGAGCAACTTACACCGGAGAGCGAACAAACCAACATCGTTGATCGATTAGCATGCTAAGGTTTTCTCATTTGACATATGTGGGAATAGGGGCAGAGTTTCCATTTTGGAGAAGTGTGCTGAAGGCAAAGTCCGGCTAGATCTAGCTCAATCACTTCGGGTAAACTTGGTGGCAAATTCGACACAGACTGAAAAAAATGTTGAACACTTTGTTCGTCGGTAGCTGCAAGCAAACTCGGATAAGCTGGCAAACGAGCGTTTGTTCGAGACAAGATTGCACAGGCATTGGTAGCATGTGGGGATTGTTCTGGCAGCGGCTGAACAACGCTCAAGTCCAGTTAGTTATTCCTAAACGGCACGTTATAAACGATGTCGTTATGGTAGGTTATCTATTCAATACATGTAGCCCGTGGAGTCGACTACAGGGGGGGCAATACGACAATCGTGGAAATGGTCAGAACCTCTAAAACCGTTTCCACGATTGCGTTGCCGAAGTTATAATGACGAATTCACCATCCGGAGGATTTCCGAGTGGGGAGTAAACCGGCATCCACTCGCGGTTCGCGACACCTCCAGTCTTCAAATCCTCTTGCTTGTCAGCTGTTTGGTCACAAGTAATTGCGTGAGACAAAGGCAACCTCGAGCCGAGGTGTCCTCATGTCATTCTGAAATACTCAAGTCACCGCTGAGTTAGGATGGCAGAAGACCTGGAGTTCCTTGAAGAGATGTCCTTCTTCCTGGAGAGGCAAGTACTCACGCCGCGCTCATCACTACGAGATGGAGAGCTAGATCAGCTCCGCGGAACCGAAGAACATATTCCTGTGTGGAAGACCTTCAGTTTACCAGCTCCAGTCGACTCCAGCGGATCCGAGAATGATAAAGGCACTAGCAGCGACAGCTCGTCCCCCAAGAAGAACAAACGTCAACGCGATGGCAGTTGCGACGTGCGGCGCCGGAAGTATCGTCAGCGCTTGAAAGACGAGCGCGAGGAGCTGCGCCAAGAGGCGGCCGAGCTTTCCAAGCAGGTGCAGGAGTTCATGTTGGAAAAACAAGGCGCCAACACCACCGAGCGAACGGACTTGGTACTATGCGATTCGTTCTGGAAGCGAGTCGCCATACAACAACGTGAGCACCGGCGCTGCGCAGAGAAGGAGAAGACGCGACTCAGTGCCGTTGTGAACGCGCAAGCCGCGTATCTCGAGAGTCTCGGTATGACGCTACGTGAATGTCCGAGTTGGCCTCTGTCGGTGGTAGCTACTGCTGATTACAACGAAGACCCCGATACACTCAGCGACCGAAGATGGCTTCAACTAAAATCATCCGACGCTGCGTTGTATGAGGCTTTTCTGCTGGAGACTCACAGGAGCAACGCTCGAATGGAGCAGGTATTCGACGAGTGCGGCATGGACTCGCTCCCGATCGACTCGGTCACTTCGCTCCGTCAGCATCATCCGAATGGGGAAGTTGTGTTCATTCAGTACGTCAACAAATTACTGCAGCCCTTCAGCTTTGACAACACATCCAAAACTCTGTGGGAACTCGCGGGATTTCCATACAGACAGCATGACCGACAAGTTTTCCAGGACGTGGTAGATCCAGACAACACTGTCGCGGCCAAGTTCCGCTTGAAGAAGACTAAGCTGCGGGTCGAGAGTATCAACCTTGAAGCGCGTCGTCTCGCGGCGTTTTATCCGTGACGATAGCGTGATTGTCTGGAAAATTTTCTCCGAAGGCGAGGGCATCTTCAGCGGTATAGACGTTGATGAGTCCGGCTGGGTCCGTATCCGACCGTACTCAGACGGATTAATGGCCGGGGCACTGACGGAGGCGTGCTCGCGCATTGTTCCAACGCACTTCATCGCAACTAACGCGGAAGATGTGACCGTCAAGGCCTTTCAGTGCATGATTCACGAATCGCTCAAGGATGATGAACGCGAGTTTATCAAGTTGATGAACAAACTACTGCGTGGAAGCACTTGAGTGAAGACAATTCTGAATAGATAAGTACTTTCATTCATGTTAGAGCCTTAGTACGTTCGGAGTTCTCCGGAACTTGTCTTCAGAGGTCGAATCGAGCTCATCACTAGCCTAGTGATGAGCTACCGTAGTGACACTAGGGGAGTGATATCTGGCGGTCGATCTTGTCGAATCGGTTCACTCCGTACATGTACTATTGTAGTTATCTGGCGCCCGAAGCCTGAGTTCTGCTAAGGAGAACTCGACGGATCGCGAACCATATAGATTCTCGTGTCGTGAAACTCCACGATATTCCGTGCTTGATTGTGCCATGAAGTTTTCGGGTACCAAGAACTGCTTTACCCCCCCCCCCCCCCCAATCTAAAGGCAACACGCAAGTGAGTTATACTCGAGCACAGTCGCTCCATGGCCTTCTCCGCAACGATTTTGAACATTCTTGTGTTCTACAACTGCTGGTTATTTCGTCGCTCCTCGACCACCTCTTGAAAGCGCAGAGTATCCCGTACTTCAAGAGCGGCGAAAGAGCACAACCTGGTTGCAGAAAGTTGATAAAGTTGGATCATCAGCGACCAGAAGACGCTCTTAGATGCCGTTGCATTTTTTAACTTGCTGATTCAAGCTCGCAGCAGCTATTGTCATCTTTAACGGTGACAGAAGCTGAGCGTTCGCTCGAACTTGATGCTTCAGCGTTGCATTCTCGCCCTGAGCCTTCTGCAGCCCCACCTTCGTGCAAACGTTTGTTTGAACTAGAGAAGCGACGCTGGACTCAGCGGGTTGACTGTGCTCTGCTGGTGAGGCAGCAGAAATGCGCCCTATTCCTCCAATGCTATTGCCTGTTGTCGACGAGCCATGTCAGGTCATTCTGCGGTTGCGCTCAAACGCTTGGACAACGCGGTCCTTCTCGATGAACGGCTTCGTCACCATTCGCATGGTGTAGTTGTATTCGCCCACCACCACCGTACCATCGTACTTCTGAACAGCGATACGAGAGGCCAAGCCGAGCCTACCCCAAACAAGTGGATTGTTAGAGATAACAACCATAGCACAATACTTATGGAGGAGCGTACGTACAGGGTTTCTGGCGGCTTGCTTCGTCTTCAGCGTTGCACCCTCATCACTCTCGACGTTTCTCCAAAAAGCCTTTACCATAGTTTGGCTGGCAAATGGCAGTAGGATTCGCGTGCGAGACTCCAGTAAGTTCCCACGTCTCTGACCCTTTGACTGACAAATGAAGGCGTTGGTCACCTCCGGGTTGCCCTCTTGAAGCCCTACAAGACGGAGAACTTCCTCCATGTTCCTGTTCTGATCGTCCACGTTGCTTGCCATCTTTCTGAACAAGGCATCGTCCTGTGTTGCGTCGTACGGGACGCCATGTTCATTCAGTGCGGCAGCATTTGGAGCAGCTCTTCCACCTGCTTGTTCAGGTTCAGGTCGAGCACATGAGTGTCTAGGGTTCTGGCGCAGCAGCGACTTCAACTCTGCGTTTTGAAATATTGTACTGAAGCTTCGGCGTGTTCCCTTGCTAGTGTAGATGAGTTTGTTCTGGAGCTCTTGCTCCAATTCAGCTACTTCATATCACATCGATTGCGGTCTCGTCGTCGCCGCTTCTTCTTTGGCTACTCAGCTCCAGTGTCGTCGCCTAGCAGTTCAAACTGCGGCAGCAGGTGGTCCAGCTCGCTCCACACTTCGTCCATGATGACCAAGAGCGCGTCTTCATCGAGCATCGGCGAGAGATGATCATCAACACGAACAACCCTCTCCATCGTGGTGAAACTATGGTCATCAGGACCAGAAGCTTGTATGCCTCTGGTCCTGATAACCATATGAGTCAAAGTATTATATTATTCTATCAATATTTCGTACTGATATCGATGTCCTCATATATTATGTGTACTTCAATCTCTTCTTCGACGGCCGTCAAATGGATGCAAGCTGTCGCAAGCTCCAAAGCTGTCTGCACCGAAAGGAGACCTCACGCACCTCCTTTGTGAGTGTCCGAGCGCCCAAGCATGCTGGAAATATCTTATCATCTGCTGGAGTAGACGACGGTGCGATGACCAGCAGCTTCTTCGGTTTATGGCGAATTGCGCGTCTCGAGTATCACCACCGTTTACAACAGACTTGCGTCGTCAAAATATCGGGTTGCAGCGCTCGCGTTCGCTCGCTCGCGCAGACACGCCCCCGCCTAATCGGCGGGTGTTGGCGATTGGTGAATGCACTGAGTGAGCCTCCCGCTCGCACTCGTCCATTTTGTATCGGACTCAAAATACAACGGATTGAATATGTCCTGCACCCCAACCATAATTCATATAATCGGTCCTACAAACCGGCCTGCATTTGCAGGACAATTTGTCTGGTGTAGGACGTATTGTGCTTTGCATACTTTTTGGCACTTCGGACTGTAACTTGTACGACTTATCGAGCACGACTTATCTATAAATCGTACTCGAGTACGAATTGCTGTAAGTCGTGGATGGTCATCTCCTGCATGATTTAGCACATCCAGCATGGATTAGCATCCTTTTGGCACTTTCCGAAAGTGCCATTTCCGAGCCAAACTGGTTTCGAAACACGACTTGAGCAAGTCGCATTCAAAGCCACTATGATTTACCACTAAGTACGAACACTAACTAGTGCACTAATTAGGAGGGCAAACTGGTTGCAAAGCACAATATTTTCTGACTGCATTAATTTCTCCCCGCGCAGCGTGCGGTCGTAAACCCATGACCAGACCACTTTAAAGTGGCAAAATCAGAAAAATTTCCACCTTTTCCACTTTCTGGCGAATCTTAAAGGTGGAGCAAATTTTGGTAAGAATGACCAGAATTCAAGTCCCTTCTGAACGATACCATGCAGCTGTAAAAAGGGCGCTGACACAGTACAGATGCATGCCATACATGGCGGAAACTGCGAAAATGCTGTTGGAGGTGACGAAAACGACTGTGCTTCTATTCGTAGCGAAATACACTTGAGGCAATAGCGAAGTTCGCACGTTATAGCTCATCAACGCAAGCAGTATGATTCATCGACGGAAAGGCGTCATAGGTGTACTATGCGGTAAACGAAGCTAGGAAGCAAGACGGGGTTCCCGTACAGCCACCAAGGGGGAGACCATGCTGCCACGCGTATGCAGGTATGCGGTTGCCGCTGTTGTCAATTTATACATTTGCGTATTTTGATCGATGTAAAACGAGACTACGGCGAACAAAATGTTTCTAACGCGCCACTGAGAGTTATCGAGATAATCGACTTTGAAGTTGACCAATCAGAACTCGTACCTATCCGGACATCAAAAATGTGAAAGTGCAAATTACTCGTAGAAAGCGGAAAAGACTTTAATGCAATTGCTTTTAACGAGAGCTTTCTGATAATATACGCTAAGCAAATTTTGACAAAGAATTGAAGTCACTATCGTTCAAAACGTGGTAGGATTTTGACCCTTCCCAAATGGGGATAGTTTTTTCAAGTGCCGACAACTCCTCGAATTTTCAACATTTCGATGCAAACAAGGGCTCAAAATGTGCGCAAGACAGCGCTCTTCACGATAAAGCCACTAAATCGCGATTCGTACTTAGGTTCGTAAGTAATGTTTTGTTTGCCGCCGTCTCAAACGAGGTTTGGAAGTGGCAGCGGGGGCAGCGATCCGATGCACAGCGAGCTCGCAGTCTAACACAAAAGGTATCCATAGATAGGGGTTAACTTACTACTGACCTGCAATGTGTCAGCCACCTTTAGGCTCGTACTTAGCCAGACGGTTAATGATTATACTTGGGTATTGTATGGATTCCACTTTTTCCACTTCCTGCCGAGAAAATGTGCCACTTTAAAGCAAAAAGTGGAGAAATTGACAATTGCCACTTTTAAAGTGGTCTGCCCATGACAAACCATGTTGAATTCTCGCGACCACTGGCCAGCGTTCGAGCGCGCACGGTTACCGGTATCCCTAGGAATCAGATGCCGGTATGCGGGTTTTGTGGAAGTATGCGTGTTTTGTGGATTTGAAACTCAAATATGCGGGTTTTCTCCACCTGGCTTAGAACATTCCAGACACTCTCATAACATAAGTTGAATAGACTAGTCTGAACCCATACATTATGTGTACTCGTACTTTAATTAATACCGGTACACAAGGGAGGCGAGTCAGCAGACTCAACCATAATATGGTTGAGTTTGACGTGTAGCTAGCATAATGAACAAGATAAAACGTCTACTACTGCGTTACTGCATGTATTACGGTAGCTTAGAGTCAATGCTAGCTACACAGAGCTACTCCGTGCTTGAGCACGGCTTGAGCAAGTCTTCGAAATCTAACCCGCAGTAAGTAACGTGTGCAGCTGATGAGTTTTGACGGGGAAATGGTGCACACTGTACTGTGAATATCGAGCATACTGGTACCGTAAGCCACGGGCCTAGTACACGTATGTAAGCAAATTCTGACTTTTTACGGGGTGAAAAGGGTTTGAAAGACATATGCAACAGTAGGATGCCAATACAAAGTTGAAGATATAGGCGGTGTATCATCCCCACAAATACTATCTCCTCAAGGCCGTGGTTTACGGTACTTGTCCCATCAGCCAGGTACCCAGGGAACCTCCTATCAGTTTGGGGGGGGGGGGTTAAGGCTATCTTAAGGCGCCAATATTCTCCTCACTCTCCAATTCGTGCTTCATCTCGCACACCTCCGCTAGAAAGTAAGCATGCAGGTCCATCTCGCTGTGCTTCTGTCTGTAGCTGTTATCTTGGCGACTGTCATCGACGCGGCGGTAGACTCCAAGACGGCGGAGCTTCAGTCCTTCACGGGGACTAGACTCCTACGAGCGGGTGCCAACACCGCCGCATTCGACGAAACAAGAAGCATCCCTGGCGTGTAGAGCCTTACGAATTTTTTCAAGTCGACGAGCCAGAAGAAGCTGGAAAATTCGGTGAAGAGTGGCCAGCTCGGACAACGCTTTTAAGTTTCTCAAGCTCGATGCTTCCTGGGACAAGCTCCTGAGGAACCCTGATTTCAAGGTTTGGGTGAAATATGTCGCCGAGACTAAGCAAACCCCAGAGATCGCAGTTATCGTGAAACTTCGGGGGCAATTCGGGGGTGACGCGAAGCTCTCGGAGTTGCTCCATTTGGCCAAAAAGTTAAGGGGACCAAGAAGACTGCTACAAGATTGCAGAACGCGCAGTTTGAGCTATGGTTCATCAGGGGGGTCAAGCCGGGCGATGTGCCTGACAAAATTTTCGGGTACAGTCCTGCCAGTTGGATGCGGCTCCATATCTTGACTCCCCAGAGGCAAGCGCGGTTTGCATACAGTATCTACGTGGACAAGACCCACCCCAAGTGGTTCAACACTGTGTCGAACTGAAGAAACGTATGCGCTAATAATGCTACCAGGGTGTGTGAGAGGCGCTTCCGTTTCTGTTTTTTACTAAGCCGTGCTAAATATATTATCGAAGCGTTTATTGAAGTTAACGGGTACGTTCCGATACGTTAATGATTCGTTCGTTTATAACCGATAGCGGAGCATGCATTTTTATAGTGATTTGCACCTGCAGTCGTCGCCCTAACTACTCTGGATAAAATCCAGAGAATTGTTTTAGCTTACCCAAACAGCAAGCTCTTTGCTTCAAAACAGTGATGGCCAAAAATGTACGGGAAGGCATTGGAGGTAAAGCGATCTGTAGCAATATGACTTGCAGTACCAAGGCAGCCAGCAATAATAACTGCAATACTGGTCGTTCTTGCAATAATTGCTGCAATACTATAACCATACTACTCTGTCGTCGTAGAGGTCGCCGATAGCACATATGCCGTCGGAACTGGGTTTTGAGAACATTATTATCTTGACATTGACAGCCTTGCCTGTTTCTAAGTGAAAAGTACTAGGGTTTGAAGAGTTTATTCGGTTGGCTGAAGACTGCAGTAAGAATTGCAATTCCGCAGCGCTCTGCAATATGTAATGCAATAGCTTGCAAGCTTGCAGTATGACTTTGCAATAAGTATTGGTAAATGCCAATACCTATAAGACACAGCTTTAGCACGCCTTTTTCAGGAATTTGGATATTGTTTTCGCTACTCAGCTTTATCCATCGAGGCCACGTGGCGGGCGTACAGAGCGAGGTGAACACCGTGAGCCAGACACTGGAGAAGTCCAACGCGCTCAGGCCTATCAGGAGATTGGCTGCAGCAGCTCACGGCGTCATTCAGCGGCCCGGGATTTGCCCAGTCGCTCTCCTCGAGTCCATAGACGCGCTGCAGAGCATGGCGGCCGCCTGCATACTGTTTCCAGCGATGCCGCGTTGGGGACATGATCTTTCTCATTTTTTCTGCACACCGGGGGCGTGGCGTGGCGGGTTAGCTGCGATGAGGCGAATTCGAAAGTGGACGCCCTCGTTGAGTGCCCACCGATCTCCCGCGGGTTTTCTATCTTTACTAACTGCGACATTTGTTGGTTTGTAGCTTGTGGTTGAGGGGGCAAATTCCGAAGTGAGATTAAATGTTATCGTCTCTCAAACTACTCTCTAGTCTTCCCCTCCTGCTTTCCTTCTTGTTCTTCTTGTGCTCGTTGGTGCCTCTCATCAGACGGATTACTCCCGGGTTCCAATTGACTGGATCTCAGTATACTTGGGTCTCCCTGACCAGCCATTGGTATATCCAGAGCCCGGCTGCCGCCGGCTCTCCTGTTGCCGTCGGATCCTCCGAGTCATCGGCGGATGTGTCCACACGTTCTCCTCGTCCATGTGCATCTATTGGCGGCGCTCCCGAAGACTCATGAACACTCCCACTCGCCGCTAATGCTGCACGACCGTCCCGATGATTCCGCTTGCGCTGATCAGGTACTGGAGCCTCTTCGTCCCCAACGCCTTGGTTAGCATGTCCGCGAGCTGGTCTTCCGTCGGCACGTAGTTGACGACGATGAGTCTTCGGGACACATTCTCGCGGATGAAGTGATGCTTGATGTCCCCGTGCTTGGTCCTCGCGTTATAGCCAGCGTTACTTGCGAGAGCGATCGCGCCCTGGTTGTCCTCCCATACTTGGGTAGCTCCCACTTGCTCGTGACCCATGTCCTTAAGCATGGCGCGGATCCACAGCACGTCCTGCGTGCACAGGCTCAGCGCCATGTACTCGGCCTCCGCCGAGCTGAGCGCCACCGTGCGCTGGTACTTCGACTTGAAGACCACCGGCGCCCCGCCAATCATCACCATGATGCCCGACACGGAGCGTCGGTCGTCGAGATTGCTGCCCCAGTCGGCGTCGGCGTACGCTGTCACCTCGACCTTCTTCGCGTTCCCATTGTAGGCGATGCCGATGTCTCGGGTGCTCTTCAGGTACCTGAGCACGCGGATGGCAGCCTTCCAGTGCTGCTGCCCGGGGTTCTCGAAGAAGCGCGACAACTGGGTCACGATGTACGCCACATCAGGTCTGGTGCACGTTGTAATGTACAACAAACAGCCAATGAGGGCTCGGTAGGGCTTCGACTGCATTTCCTCACGTTCCTTCTGAGTCATCGGCGACTGAGTCTTCGACAACTTCATGGCCGACTCGCACGGGTTCACCACCACCTTGGCGTCCTGCTGGTTGAACCTCTTCACCACTATCGAGTCTGCTTGATCATGAGAGTCTTCGCCGATGAGTCATGGTCGATCCCCATACCAAGTATAAACTTGGCCTCGCCCAACTCCTAAACGCATTCTTGAGCGCCACCTTGACTTCCTAGATCTCGTCGCTCGTCTTGGCCGCGATGATCATGTCGTCCACGTACAGGCAGACATATACGAACCTGCCCTTCTCGCCTTTGACGTATACGCACTGATCGCCGCCGCAGCTCCGAAATCCGATGCCCACCAAGACTCGGTGGTTGGTCTTATGCCAGACATTTGCCGCCTGCTTCAGACCATAGATCGCTTTTTGCAACCGACACATCATGTTCTTCGCGTTGATGATTCCGTAGGGCACCTCCATGTAGACGCGCTCCACCAGCCCGCTGTTGAGAAAGGCGGTGTCCGCATCCAGCTGCTCGGTGATGTACGCCTCGGCCACCACAACCGACAACACCACTCGGATCGAGTTCATGTTGGCCACGGGCGAGTACGTCTCGAAGAAGTCCACGCCATACTTCTGCTTAAACCCTTTCGCCACCAGGTGGGCCTTATACCTGATGACTCGGCCGTGCTCGTCGCGTTTCTTTGCGAACACCCAGCGACAACCGATCGGTCGAGCACTCGGTGTAGCGTCCATGATCCGTTGTCCGCGTGTGCCTTGAGCTCCGCATTCATTGCCTTCACCCACTCGACGTCGGCGATGCCAATGACGCACCCACCACGTATCAGCAGGCCATGCAGAGCGACGAGTCGTCGGGGTCTCGGGCAGACCGTGGTGTCGGAAGACACAGTCCATGAACAGGCGAGCGACCTCGTCGCCAGTGACGGTGTTACGAACTGGAGCAAAGTGGACCATCTTGCTCAGACGGCACACGAAGGCAACACCACCAGTGTTGCCACGGTCATCGGCCGGAAGTCCGAAGACAAAGTCGAGACTCATCGACTTCCAGCAGTCCGCTGGGACCGGCAGGCTCTGCAATGGTGCCGAGGCGTGACCGGCAGGCTTCACGCGCTGGCACGTCTCGTACGGACGGACGCAGGTGGCGACCCACTTGTACATGTGACGCGACCAAAACATCTGCGAGTCAGACGCGTACGTCTTCTCACGGACGAGATGGCCACTGGATGGAGCGTCGTGCGCCTCCATCAGGATGTCGTACTTGACATCCTCGTCGTTGGGCACGACAATACGGGGAGGATCCTCGGGCTCGACCCTATAGTGGAGCAAACCGTCAGCCCACTCATAGCGGTGCAGCCTTGCACGTTGTTGGGGCGTGAGCCACTCGGCCTTGGCTTCCGAGCCAGCGGCCAAGAACCGCACAAGAGGTCCGAGACTGGCATCGTCTCGGTACCCCAGCCTGATGTGATCATACAGATCCGTCGTGACCCGACTAATATGAGCAAGCTCGTAGTCGGGTCGGCGCGACAGCGCGTCGGCAAGCACGTTCAACTTGCCCGGCTTGTACTCGACACGGAAGTTGTATTCCGCGAAGAGTGACAGCCAACGCGCCATCCGCTGTGAGAGATGCGGTGTGTTGACGGCAGTCCGCAAGGACGCGTGGTCTGTATAAACGACAAAGGGCGTCGAGCCCAGGAGGTGCACTCGGAACTTGACAAGAGCGTACTTCATGGCAAGTAGTTCCTTGTCGTGGACTGGATAGTTCCGTTCGGCTGCCTTGAGCTGCCTGGACTGGAACGAGATGACCCGTTCGCGGCCTTCATCGTCGGCCTGCAATAGCGCACAGCCAATTGCGTAGTCAGACGCATCACAGACTACGCTGAAAGGCTTCGTCTCGTCCGGCAATGCCAGGACTGGCGCGCGCTGTAAGCTCGCTTCGATGTCGTTAAAAGCATCTTGATGGTGACGCTCCCAGCGCCAGTCGACATTCTTCTTCAGGAGATCCGACAAGGGCCGTGCCAGCTCGGCGTAGCCTGCACTATACTTGTGCAGGTAGTTGGCGAGGCCCAACCACTGTCGTAGGTTCTTCTGCGACCGAGGTGGCGGCCAAGCCGCGATGGTTTTCACCTTCTCCGGGTCCGCCCGGACCCCGGCGCTGCTGACGAAGCAGCCCAGGACCTTGATCTCCTCAGCTGCGAACACACACTTGTCGATGTTGGCGTACAGCTTGTTCGCCCGCATGACTTCGAACACACGTCGAAGGTGCTGGAGATGCACCTCCATGGCCGTCTGGCCTGCCTCGGCACGGCTGTGGACGAAGATGTCGTCAAAGTACGTCTGTGTGAACGCACGCAAAGGTCGGAACAGTTGTGTGACCAAGCGATTGAACGTTGCCGGGGCGTTAGAAAGCCCCTGAGGCATGACCAGCCACTCCCAGAGCATACCGCTCGGCGTGCTCACAGCCGTGAGTGGGATGTCGCTCTCGCACATCAGGATCTGGTAGTATCCGTCCACCAGGTCCAGCGCGCTATACAGCGTGCAGCCGGCCATGTTGTTGAGCAACACGTCCTTGCGCGGGATCGGTGTCTGCGCAGGCACTGTCGCGCTGTTCAGCTTGTTATAAGCATGAACCAGACGCCACTTTCCGTTCGGTTTGCGAACACAGAAGGTAGGCGTCGAGTGCGGGGACTTCGACTCCCGCACCATGCCTGCCTTCGCCTTGGCGGCAAAGAAGGCATCAATGACTTCACACTGCTCCCGGGGAAGAGGCCATTGCCTCGTGACACAGTACTTCGTGCCCGGTACGAGATCGATCTCGTGCCTGATTCCCCTGTCCGGAGGGAGATTGGACGGTGGATCCTTGGACACCACGTCCTCGAACTCCTTCACCAAGGGGTACACCGGGTCCCGGGGGTTCTTAAGAATCTCAGAGCCCATGCGCGACGCGCGCTGTCTCTGGAACTCCTCCAGGACTGCCTGGTCCATGACCGAGGACGAGTTCAACTCGGCCGACGTGGACTCCGGTCGGAGGAGAACCGACTCTGCGATCTCCCCGGCCTTTAGCTCGGCCAAGAAGTCCTCCATGGCGAGCTCCTCAAGGTTCAGCAACTCTGAAACCTCGGGCAGAGCTGTAAGCTCGACAGCTCCTGTCTTGACCCGACGACCGGTCACGCCGTCGAAGATGTGATAACACTCTTCGGCGGCTGGAGCCTTGGCTGGAGGCTCGGAGTCGCTGGCGACTGGCGTCGTCGGCCACACGACTAGGCCCGGCTTACGACGTGGCCCTCGGGTGTCTTCGTCTCGTGGCGCCGCCTTGACGGCACCACTGATCTTCTCGATCTCGTGCGGAACTACGTTACCCGCCTTGTTCTTGAGCGGAACTTGGTTACCCGCCTTGCTGGGAGGAACTATGTTACCCACCTCGCCGTGTGGAAATTGATTACCCACACCAGGAGCGCTTCCAGCGACTCCCGCATCAGTTACGGTCTGAGTGACCTCCTGTGGAACTATGTTACCCACATCGGAAGCGCCTGCAGTGCCTTCCTCATCAGTTACGGTCTGAGTGACCTCGCGTGGAACTTGGTTACCCACGCCAACGCCAGCGGCGCCTTCTCCAGCAGCCCTTGCTGCCTGCGGTACTTCGTTACCCGCGTGTGGACCTACGTTACCCACCTGGTAGGTGCTGTCCGGCACCTCCACTCTCAGGCCTTGTCCGGCCCGGTCGGAGTCGTCGTCAGTCTCGACGGACCCCAAGAACTCATTAGACGCTGCTGCGCCCTGGCGGCCCTCGTGGGCGCCCCAGCTGGTGCCAGAGGTGGGAACATGACTCACCAAAGCTCTGTCAGAGCGTGGGGAACGGCTGGCCCCGATGGCCTTGCCGCGCCAGTCGATCCAAGGATCGTGTTTCTCCAGCCACGGCATGCCAAGGATCAAGTCGTACTTGTCCATGTCTAGGACCAAGAACGGCTCCGTGCTGTCGAAGTCCTCGAACTTGACGTGAGGTCCATGTGGACCCGAGGTACTTCTACCACCGTACCGTCGGCCAGTCTTACCGAGACCAGCCCGTTGCCTTTGCTGCCTCGTAGCGCATCGGCGTACTTGTCGTGATTGCGTGCGACAGTCTGGCGGCGCGCAAAGTTCTTGGACGCCCCAGAGTCGATCAAGATTCTCAAGGGATGATCGTATCCCGGTACACTCGCGTGCACCACAAGCAGCCCACCGCTGCCCTTCTCCGCTTCGAGAGTACAGAGACTCTCAGGGGCTAAGTCCCCATGGCGTGCGCCACCCGCACGCCCCTCATGAAGACTTAGTGTTTCCCCAGTAGGGCGCCCCGCCCCTACTGGTGTCCGGCGTTCCCCAGGTTCCTGGGGCGCGGCTTCTGCCAGCGACCCCTAGAGTCAAAGGGCTTCGAAGAGCACTTCTTCTTCAGTCCTCCCGCGGGACAAGCACGTTTCATGTGTCCAAGCTTGCCACAGCCGTAGCAGCGAATGTCGCTCTGCTCGGCCATGCCCAGATCCATGGGAACCGGCCCGTTGATCGCTCCATTGCCGGAGTTACCATTAGGCGCACCGCCAGAGGCAGGGTTGCTCTGCCATACCGTGGCGGGGGTACGAGCCTGCTTGTGGCTGTACTCCTCCTGGAGAGCGATCTGAATCGCCTCCTCCATAGTGTTTGCTTGCACACGGAACAGTTGCGTGCGGGCAGGACCGACACGCCGACCGTCCATGAACACGGTCACCTTGATGTGTTCAGGCCGGGGGTTCCCCACCAAAGAGGCAGTGAGCACTCGCATCTCCTGGATGTACTCATGCAGCTCGCGCCTTCCTTGTTTGCAGGCGAGGAAGCGCGAACGCTGGCGATACTCGTAGTTCGCCGGAAGAAACGCGGCCCGCAGCTGCTCGCACAGCTGGGGCCATGATGCGAAGCATCCAGGCGTCGTCGCTTCGCGCGTATACGCCCAACTCTTAGCGCGACCACTAAGGTTGGAGAGCGCAAAGGCGACACGGAGTCGCTCGTCCGAGACGAGAGCCGCGTCCATCGCGAGCTCAACCTCTCGAACCCAGAAGTGAAGGTTTTCTCCTTCCTTCCCTTCGAAGGGGTGAACCTTCAGCCGCAGGGGCTTCGGTTGCACCGGCTTCGCCGCGGCCGCAGTGGCCTGCAGCCCTTGAACGTGGGCGATGAGCCCTCGCTCGTAGGTGTCGAACGCGTTGATACGCTCAACCTGCTCAGCCGGCGTCGCCGCCGCTAAGCTACGCAGGGCATCTGTCCCAAAGATGCCTGCCATCTTACGAACGGACTCGTACTGCGAGTCGTTCAGATGGGGAAACTCCGTACGATCCATCTTGGCTCACTCGATGATACCACAGAGGATTCAGGTAGTCCAATCTACCCGCGTAGGCGTAGGATTGACTACAAGTGCTACCAAGTGTGACGGGGCACACAACACATCTTAACAGAGGAAGCAGGAGTATACAAACTCCAAGTGAACAGCCGTTCACGTGTCCCTGGTCTGAAGGGGACGACTTGACTTGAAAAGCGGGAGATCTGAGACTGAATGTATTTATAGGTTGGTACAGATTTGGCCTGCATACAAATCCTAAGTTCCCTATAGTTTGTGTCATACAAAATGTATCTGTTGGCTCTGAGGCCACTTGGGTCACTATCCAGGGGAGTGACCGATGTAGCCATCCCTGAATAGTGACAGCGTCACTATTCCATGTAACCCCGTTGAGGGCACCGACATGAAGATGATGAACGAGGTTATCAGGACGAAGATGCCAAAATTGCAGCAGGCAGCGCACGACGAAGAGACCAAACGAGGCCCTGAGACAATGAAAGCAAGCTTGAAATTCTTGAAATTCTTGAGTCGCCAGCGATGGCGCGAGACGATAGCGCGCGTGAGTCGCGCATGATCTTGATATTGAAGCGACGAGGATGATAGCGTCCGAGGTCTCTGGCGTAGCGAGGGCCGGATGCCGCGCCTTCCTCGTCGCGTCGCCGAGACCACAATTGAACCGACAGTATCGTTCTCTGCCGTCTGAAACCACCAATGGGCTTTTTCTGGCTCGAGTCTTGTCCGGCGATTTCGGGGGCCTTGGGATGCCATCCGGACTCCGGAAAAACAAATATCCATAATTCTGGTTGCTGCGCTCCCTGCGTCAGGATATTAACCATTGTATCGCTGTCGAAGAGCTAGGAGCTCGTTGTTTTCGCTTGAATCACGTCTGACTTGACTTCGCCTTCTCCTTCGGTACCTCTGTTGCTTCTTTTTCTTCTTCATATCCCTCCACCTGCGTGTGTCTGTCTCGTCCTCGCGTAGTTTGTCGTCGCTTGGTGCTGGTCCAGATCGCGCATATCTGTCAGGAAAATGTCCCAAGACGTGAGTACATTCGCCTGCACCTGTGGACTGGTAACTTGTTCTTCCCTCTGCCGATTGGCCTGCGCGACGTCTACGACAAAGAAGTGCGGCGCTACTGGTCTGGCCGAAGTCCTTTTAAAACGTGTCAGTTCATCGCCCAGACGCGACCAAAGAAGTGCAAAATGACAATGTACACTGGTGATTAAATCTCCGAAGTACTACATACATGTACCAGTGAACTAGCGAGTGCCGCGCGAGCTGTTCACGCTGCGTGAACGGCTTTAAACCACTCGGTAATTGGTGCCACTTTCGTTCTAGACGTAGCCGCTTTAGTGTCTGCTGCTGAGAGACACTAAGTTAGAAGGCGTGTAGCTTGAAGCTTAAATCGACAACGCTTGGCTGACGCAAGTTATTCTCCATTGTGCCTCAGCTGTTTGAGGGGCACACCGCGGCCCTCTTCTTCTCCTGTATCACTTGATCGAGTGTTTGGTTTTCGAGCGTGTGCAATCTCGAGATGATAAAGTCTTGGTACACTCTAGCCAGATTGAGCTGCCCGTCACAGCTCTCTTTCGACGACATGGTTTCCACTGTCGGGTTCATCATGACGTAGTTCAGACACATGCTCGTGCTGTCGTCCACCGGCTGGATGAAACCCCAGCCTTGCTCGTGGGTCTTCACGTTGTGCATTGTCCCCATGTGCGGCCATTCCGCAACTGCACTCCACGCTTGGGCGACGCGGTCCTTCTCGATGAACTGCTTCATCACCATGCGCATGGTGCAGATGTAGTCCCCTACCACCACATCGTACTTCTGAACAGCAATGCGAGAGGCCAAACCGAGCGGTAAGTCCTAGTTCCAACCGACAAAAAGCTACGTCAGACCCATATATCGATAGATAAAGCGCTAATAGATGAACGTACGAGCTTCGCGGTGGCTTGCTTCGTCCTCAGCGTCGCCCCCTCATCACTCTCGACGTTTCTCCATAGAGCCTTGACCAGAGCTTGGCTGGGGAATGGCGATAAGACTCGCATGCGAGACTTCAGCAAGTTCCCGTTAGTTAGGGCCTTTGAGCGGCAAATATAAGCGTCAGCCACCTCCGAGGTTCCCTCTTCAAGCCCCGCAAGAAGGAGAACTTTCTCCATGTTTTTATACTGATCGTCCACGTTGCTTGCCATCTTCTTGAACAAGGCGTCGTCTTGTGTCTCGTCGTACGGGAGACTTTGAATCGCCATGTTCATTGAGCGCGGCAGCATCTGAAGCAGCTCTTCCACCTGCTTGTTCAGGTTCAGCTCGAGCGCGCGCGTGTCTTCGAGACTCTGGCGCAGCAGCGACTTCAACTCGGCGTTCTGGACCATCGAGCAATAATTGCTGCGCGCTCTTTTGCTGGCGGTGGTGAGTTGGTTCCGAAGCTCTTGCTCCAGCTCAGCAGCTTCAGCTCGCAGTCTCGTGATCTCGTGACTGGGGCGGGTGCGGTCTCGCCGTCGCTTCTTCTTGGGCTTCTCGGCGCCAGTGTCGCTGTAGCCTTCGCCCTGAAACTTGAACCCTGGGTGCAGGGGGCTCGACTCGGAGCTCCACACGCCGTTTAGGGCCGACAAGAGCGCGCCGTCGTCTCCATCCAGCAACGGCGAGAGAGGGTCATCGACACGTGCAGCCCTCTTTGCCATGGGGAAGTAAGTTCCTACTCGATTGTTATCAGGACACGTGGACAGTGCAGAGATGCCAGCCTGTGACACTGAATCATTGTCACTAATCGAGAAGGGCGAGTGATTGCTGCACCAGGTGCTTGCCATCAAGCACCTGACCGCTCTTCGTGATGGCATCAACACGAAGAGCGGTCAGGTGCTGTTTGTTTGAGATCACTTTTGTATTGGAGCTAAGGGACGCACAGACATGGGCGATGAAGAGATCCTTGGCGTAGTGGACTTGTTCCTGAAGGATATGGAGGCGCTCGAGCGCCAGCAATCTACCGATTCCAGCTTACTGAAGCGCAAGACAGAGAGGGCTTCTCAGGGGACGAGGTCTAACACGCCAGTGCCAGTGAAAGCCCCTGCTCAGAGGGTCCCTACGTGGTTGAAGACGAAGCGAGAGTTGGCTGCTCTCCGGCAGCAGAGCGAGGAGATGGAGACCCAGGCTCTGTTCCTCAAGCTCCAGCAGGAGAAACGACGTCGGCAGCTTGGTATCGCTCAGAATCAAGCCAATAATCTATGCCGGTGTAAGGTCATAGCTGACAGGGAGAAGGAGCAGCGGCGAGTGGCTGAGGAGAAGAACCAAGCATTGAAACGTCAGCTGCAAGCGTGCATCCGGGTCTCGAGTGCGTTACAAAGGACGGTAGCGATGTTGAACGAGCAGCGAGAGGGGATTGCCCATGCAATCGCCCCCTTCCACGTCGCAGCAGACATGGGGGCGCTACATCAGTTGTCGATCAGTACCCTCAGCACCTTTAAAGCTCTGGAAGATCGAGTGGACAAGCGATATCGAGACTTCCACCACGTACTCGATGAACTCCGGCAAGCCTCGATCACGTTGGACGATGAACACGTACAGATTCACGGTGGGGATAGCTCTTGTGGCTCAGTTATGGAGTACACGTGCACTCGCCTGCTGCCTTTTGATGTCAATTTTACGCGCAACGTGGCGTGGGGTATCGTGGAAGAAGGAGGCGGCGCCCAGAAGCAAGCCTCAAACGTTATCAGACACTCCGAAGACGTGCACACAATCGACTCTCGCTTCGCTCTGCCATCGGGGAAAGATGGCATGGTGGCAATTGATGTGCACTGTGTCGCCAAACGCTTCATGGTTCCAGAAGGCTGCGTGTTGCTAGCCGAGGCGAACTCTGAGTGGTCGGCCTACCAGGGAACAGCGAATCTATGGAGTCGCCAGTCCTGCGAGTCGATCTGGTGCGTACTTCGTGACGTTTCTCTCGCTTCAAATGCCTCTTCAGTCCCTGGATGCCAGATTAGCGCCATGGCGCGGAGTGAAGCTGTTCCGAGATGTTGCCCAAGCAGCTCCCTTGAGAGTTCTGCAGTGTGTGGGGGCAATGACATTGCTGCCTCGTTCTCTGAGCTGGTTAGTTCTCAACGCCAGTGTCTGGAAATCTGCTGTGGGATTCCGTACGCGGCCAGGAGACACATAAATAAATTTACCACAAATAAAGAATAAATTGCGATCCTCCAGCAAAAACTTCAACTTTGGCTACTCGACTACCGAAACCTGTCCAACTTCATCCCATGCCTTGTCACGTCATAAAAATAACGGTCGTCATGACGCACCTACCCTGTGGACATGCGTCATTCGTCGGGCTCTTCCTCCGCCTCCACGGCGTCTTCCTCTCTGAATCCAACTGCATCAGCTAGCTACGAGCCTTGTTCATATATTGAGACTTTTCCGACGCCCGAGCTCGGTCGGGAACCCTCTCAACCCCCAATGACAAAGAAGTCTCCGGTAACAAGGCGCAAGCCCAAGTCAAGGCGCGGGCGCAACCGCCCCATCCACGAGATCGCGCGTCTCAAGCAGCAGATCCCCGTACTGGAGAGTGCGATCCACGTGCTGTGGGCCAGAGCTGACATGAAGCGTCGTACACTGCGAGCCAGAGCCGAGAACCTGCAGCAACGCAGCAAGTTACAGCGTAGCGTGGACCAAGCCATGCTGCTGGAGAGCATGCTGCAGCTCTATCAAGGTCAGAAGCGGAGAGTGGAGGCCTCGTTGCTCCCAACTTTAGGAGCTGTGGGGCGTAATCTACCCTACGATGGACTAAAAGACGCAGAGATTCTACAAACGTTGAGTAGAAGCGTCGACGAGAACTACACCAAGTTGGAGCAGGTGTTCCAGGCTGCGGGTTTAGAGAAAGTTAGAACGGAGATGAACGACGCGAAGGTGCTGGAGACCGAGGGTGGGGGCGTACTCCAGATCAGGGCGGTTGCGCTGCAGCCTTTTGGGCTGAAGGCGGTGCTGGCGGCGATGTGAAAAGCTCTGGAGGAACAAACAGTGCTGAAGGATCAGGAATGCACGGACATTGTACGTGCAATTGCTGCACAATTGAGTCGGAGAATTTCCGTGCTGGTTTTACAGGGTTTGAAGCTAGGAAAAGCAAGTCGCGTAATTGCTTTGAAGCGTGAGATTGTGTTGCGGGGATGTGATGATGCGACGCTGCAGTCGTGCACGATTCGAGTTGTGCTGAAGAAGTTCGTGGAGTCCGGGCGAGAGATTCACGTTTGGGACGCGTTTGGTGACTGGTCACAGGCGGTGTCCACGCGGGAGTATGGGTGGGGTATCATGGCACCGCTAGATGTGACGATGAACGGTGTGGATATTACGTCGGTAAAGAATTGTGTCTTCATGACATCTTCGAAGTTATCGGAAGGAAAGTTGAATGGTGATTTGGCGGCTGAACACTCGGTGGCTAATTTGTACAAGCAGATCATGCAGGACCGACGGCGAGTGATCGAGACCGCCTTGCTCGACCAAGCCCGCGCAGCGAAAAGTTTGTTGCATAAGGGAAACACTGGTTGAGTAAAGTTGTTGGAAGTATGAGTAGAATGCGTAGATAGTTGGGGCTACAGAGAAAAAAAAGACATATAATGACTTATACTGGGACGAAGAATGAGGGGGTGGACAGCTCCCAACGGATTAATTGGACGCGTAAGCGTAACCTGGCGCAACCTTCGTGCTACACAAGCCAGAAGGATGTCGACCGAGCAGGTTCAACGGCAACTTTCAGCAAGGCAGGAAATGCACAGCGATATCAACAGCCCCATATGCACCAGCTTAGTGTACTCCACTAACATGTTTGCTGATTCTACTGGACACTAACTAACGGTTAGTTGAAAACTACACATGTCAGCTACACTGTATAGTGGAGAAATGGGTACATGAGGAGATTACTTAGTAATCAGTACGAAAGCGTATTTACTAGCTGGTCTGGGTGTCTATATTGCACCGCGGACTTTGACATAGGTAGGAGGCACCTAAGTCGTCTTCACTCTTAAAATCGGTCATCGTCTGCGCTGATAAGTGGTGTGCCAGCCCCCCATGTGAGCTCCACCCAGCAAATGTTTCCCTATGTTAGCAGATTCTTCAAAGTATTATAGATTGGATGGTAAATTCTTAGTTTTGAGGGTGTATTTGTGTTCAGTTTGATACATCGCCCTTCTCGGCTGCCTTCGGTGCAAACATATACTCTTCTCCATACTTTTGTTCTAACACTACTAACCGTTAGCTCAAAATACTACATGTAGACACTAACTAACAGTTAGCTAACATGTATAGCAACTAACATGTCAGCGTTAGGGAGTACACTACAGCTTCAGAAAGTGAACTGCGGCACGCGCGATATTCATGGGTGTGGTCCCTGCGGGGGGCCACAGTTCTTCCTTATTACGGCAATCAGCACCGGTACCAGCACCAGCGTTTTATACGACAGGTGTTCCCAGCCAAGTCGAAGACGACCACCTAGTTCAAGCATTGTTTGAACTCAGTTACGCAAAATAAAAAAAAACGTGCTTAAGTACTTAGAATTCATTGACAGTTGCTCGCTAACGAACCGAGTCACGCTAAGGAGTTGGTAATCGGGTATTCAACTGGTATACGTACCAAAAACACAGTGGGGCGTCGTCTTTGACTTGATCCGTCTTATTAATCTTACATTAACCTCCACTTCTTATCTTCCGCCCTCTCACCAAAAAATGCATCCTCATCGTCACATAGCAGCACCATGTAACACACTTGCTTGTCCGCATCGAGGAATAGTTTCGCAACCTCTCAAAGTACATATTCAGCACACTTGTGAATAATACCTGTCGTCACCTCCAGGAAGCAAAACCGCTCCACGGGATACGGCTGCTGTTCTGGCCGAAGGAAAATCTACAAGGCGAAGCAAGTGAAGACTACACGTATCGAGCGTTTCTGAAAAATTGGGTTTCCAACCCTGCCAAGACGAGTGATTGGGGTTTGAAGATCCGGGAGTGTGAAACAATTGACGCGGTAGTGAGATAGGTGTTTGTAGGCGATGAAGTGCGGACAGCCACCCCGCATCCTCGTACACGTTCTTGGTCTCCTCCTGGTTCACAATGCTGAACTTCATTTGAATTTGAATTTGTTGCGGTTTAGACGGCTAACTACACCCAATGCCGCGCACTGCTGCAGCGTCGCCTACGGATCACGTGCCTCCAGGGCACGAGCCCGCGGTAGTAGCCCACACCAATGCTGAACGTCAAATACGATTCCCAAGTTTCGCGTTTGCAGTGTGCAAACAAGTGTAAAAGTTGCTCTAGTGCAACACCTTGGAGTCGTCGATTGTTCATCTGCTTCGCGATCACAATGAGCCTCTGGTAAGACGTGGGTTTCACCATTCCTACCAGGTGCTCCATCGCCATCTTTGACGTCACGCACGCCCTACGCCCGTATCTGGTGAGCACCAAGTCGTGTTTTCAAAGGTGAAGTGCTCCATCACAACATCTAAAAGACCCCTGGATATTGTAACTGGCAGTAAAAAGTGACGAAGATTGCCTCTTGATACAAAATACCGGCTAGCGACATCGTCGCGTCCAATGGACCGAACTGTCTCGCCAGATCCTCCAAGTCCTCTTGCCTCCAATACGGCACCAGGCAGATCTCCTGTAAATTGCCTCCTTCACCTTTTAATTCGAAGTCACCAGAAGCTGCTATCGGATAGTACTTGTATTTGTGTACAGGTTGGACCAGTTTTGACTATCGATTGCCTACCGTCGTGACAAAACCAGCAACGATTCTGGTTAGCCCCGCTGCGTCGATAGAACAGGGATTTGTAGTCATCCATATCGCTCCACTTGCCTTGGTCAAACAAACGCGTCACTGGTGTTGCGCCTCCACCGAAGACCCTGCGGTGCCACAAAACTGGCACCTTCCTTTCGATGGTCAAGTACAAGCAGATGGGCAACTCTTATCTGTTCCTGAGCTCCCCACGAAGATTAACTGCTTGTAACTCTCGGGGTCGTTGTGTAAAAACTTCTTGAAATTCGCCAACACGCAAGCAATCTCCTTCCGCATGTAGAGCCGAGGGCCGGTAAACCCCACAATGTCCCCCATCGCTTGAATGTTCTTCACTTCTCCGCAATCGCCCTCGTTCCACTCGAATAAATTCAAGAAGTCACCTCTATTGGGCAGTAGCCCTCTCTCATGGAAGTTCTCCTTTAGTGTCATCAAAGGCGCTTCATCGTCCCCATTCTGCCACCTCAAGCGATGTTCTGGAAGCTTCAGTACGTGGATGAGTCCCCCATAGCATGGGCAAACAGCGTCGACAGTAGTTGTGCGGGCATTTTCTTGAAACTCGATCTTGCCATCCTCTGGCCCGCGCAACAATTGTTTCTCCAGTTCTTCGCTATCATGTAGCCATTCGCCATCCTTCTTCGCCAAGTAAGACCCGCAATTCATGAGGCTTCGCGAGCAGCTCTCGCGCAAGCACATTCCGCACGCTGTTCACGTCCCTATCGAGCGTCGTCTTGATCCGAACCGCTATCGCTCGACTCGACTGAACACCCTGCACAACAACTCGATCTCGTTCATCGCCGCCATCTTCGACATGAAGAGATGTTCCTCTTCTTACTGGGGTCCAAAACTATAATATACAAGCTATACATTCTTGATTCTCGGTAAATAAAAGTGAAAAGTTTTTTTTTCTTACATTTTGGTCTCTTCCACCAAAACCGCCGTAATAATGGACGACGTGGAAGCCGAGGAGCAGTTCCTGGCGGATCTGCCGCCCTCCGGAGGCTCAAGCGCGGCCGCGGCGGGCTCCGCGCAGCCCACGCCGTCAGGCGCAGCCGCCGGCGGGTCGCAGGAGCGCCGCGCGCAGGTGGGCGCCAGTCCGTACGTGGCGCCCTTCACACCCAGCGGGTCCCCTCCGCGGCCCAAGACACCGTCCACCGCCTCGGGGGCGGGGCGCGCGCGAGCCGCCAAGCCGCAGCTGGTGCCCGTGGGCCGCGCGGCCGCCGCCGCCTTCGGCCAGGGCCCGGCGCTGCCCCGCGACGACGTGGTGAAGCACCTGCCGCCCAAGCTGCTGGAGACGCTCGTGGACGTCGTGCGCACGCTGGACCAGCTCTCGGACGGCGTGGCGGACTTCCGGCCGGACCAGCTGGGCTTCCTCAGCGACAAGGCCGCGCACTACGTGGAGCTGCTCAAGGCGGCGGACGCGGCGGCGGCCGAGTTCCACGCCGACATTCCGCTGGAAGTGCTCAAGTACGTGGTCGTAGCGGAGTAGTGGGGTGCAAAGGGACTGATGCTGGTGTTGTGGCTTGTGACTGTAGGATGATGGACGCGGAGGACGGATCGAACCCGGAGCTGTTCACCAAGAAGCAGCTGGAGAAGTGCCGGGACGAGAGCGAGCAGGCGGCCGCCAAGGTCGAGACGCTCGAGATGCTCAAGGACGCGCTGCAGGCAGGGCTACAGGAGGAGATCAAGTGATCTATCTGCTACACTAACCTATCTACTGCCAGCAGTTGGGGGCATTGAACCTTTTGTTGCTGCTGTGTGTGTATCTGTCCAGCACTCGACACGAATTGTTGACATTGGCTTCTTTTGTGACAGCTTCATCTCCTCTCTCTCTCTCTGCTTGGATTTTTTCCTTCTCGTGTGCTCTGGTTCATTGCACATACGCCTCTCTGTTACACGCCAGCAGACATGGTTGCTCTATCTAGCCTCCGAAGTTGAAGTGGAAGGTGCGTGCACCCTGCTGGAAGAAGTGGGCGTTGCTGAAGGGGTTGCCGCGGTGCTGCTGTTGCTGCTGCGGGTTACCTGAGACGTCCTCGCCGCGGTCGTACATTGCGCGCGTCTCCTCGTTCGACAGGATCTCGTAGGCCTCGGCGATATCGTGGAAGCGCTTCTCCACCGCCTCGCGCTCTGCTTCATCCTTGTCCGTGTGCTTGTCCGGGTGCCATTCCAGGGCCTGTTTTCGGTACGCCTTCTTGATCTCCTTGGCCTCCGAGTTGCGTGCCACGCCCAGGATCTTGTAGTAGTTCTTGGTCTTGCTCTGCTTGAGGGCAGCTTCGGCCTGAGCCACCTTCTCCTTAAAGTCGCGACTAGAGTCGTCCAGCTCGTGAGCTCGCTTGGCTGACCGTACAGCATCTTCGTACAGCTCGAGCCCAATCTGCGCCTCGCTCAGCTTGGCGAATGCCTGAGCGAAGTTATCGTCGATATTCACAGCCTTCTCACAAGCGTCACGAGCCTCCGAGAAGTGCTTCAGATGCAGCTCGCTCGTACACAGCTGCAGGTAGAAGTCTTTGTTCATGACCGCGTGGTCCGGGTCCACCTCCAATGCCGCCTGCCAGTCTTCCACGGCTTCAGCATGTGCGCCACGCTGCATCGCCTCCTCCGCTCGGCTCACGTACTTCAGCACCTTCTTCAGTCTCCTGTACAGCGTCTTGATGCCCTTGTGCTCAGGATCCGAGTGCAGACCCTGTCGGTAGTGCGACTGCGCCGCCTCCAGCGACTGCTTGTCTCCGAGCGAGTACAGCACCTCGCCACGCATCTGCAGCGCGATCAGGTTCGACGGTTCCAGCTTGAGGATCGTGCCGAGGTCAGCAATGGCATCGTACGGGTTCTGCAGCGACACGCTCAGCTGCGCGCGCTCCAGCAGCAGCGGAACGCTCGAGATGGCCGAGCCTTCCAGCACCTGGGTCAAGTACGTGTACGCCGACTGGTAGTCTCCGCGGCTGTGAGCACGCTCCGCTTCGTCGATGTAAGCCGCGCACTCCCTGCTCTTGTCCAGCTGCTCAGCACCCGCCGTATCCTTCGGATACAACCTAAAAAAAATTAAAAGTGTCAGCAGCTACGTAAAAAAATACTCTGCAGCGTGTGCAGCTTACTCGACGAGGTTCTGGAAGTCCTGCGAGGCCTCAGCACACTGTCCCAGCATCATGAGCAGCTTGCCGCGCTGCAGCATGCCCTGCTTGTACTTGGGGTTCACGTCCAGCGACGACGACAGGTCCGTCAGCGCGTGCGAGTACTTGCGCTCGCTCAGGTACGCGCGGAAGCGCTTGTAGAAGTTGCGCTCGTTCTTGGGCTCCAGCTCAATGAGCTTGGACAGCAGCGAGATGGCCTGCAAACACGCAAAGAGCACAAATATTAGCCTAATTCTGCCCTAAAGAGCAGAATTCTGCTGGTATCCGCACCGTCTTCATGTCTCCGCCGGCGAACGCATTGTCCGCCGCCACGCGCACCTTGGCCACGTTGTCCTGACCCGCCTCCGCGTGCTGAATTGCAGAATTTAGATCATTATTTAGCGTTTGGTGCAGGAATTGCAGATATCTCGACGTGTAGATCGAGTTAAACAGCGCGAGGAGCCGCGTTGGATGCGCGCGCAATGGTCACGTACGTTGACGGCGCAGAGCACGCAGATGACGGTCGCTACGAGCCCCACGACGCGCATGACTCCTTGGTTATCCTCCGGCTCGGCTTTCGACGCGTTGAAATCCTAAAGTGGCTGCAGTCCACTTGAGGTTTGTATGTGACTAATTTCGGTATTATTTTCGGATCAGCTTCCACGTGTATGAGAGTGTGCAGCCCGCGGTAAGGTAAACGGCCTTACTTAAGTATACAACCGGTCTGCAGCGCAACAGGCATTAATAATTGCAAAGTGTAGTAGCGCAACAGGTAAATTGCAAAGTGTATTTGCAAGTGATCCTAGTGTCATGAAGACCAAAAAAATGTATCTTCTCGAGTACTGAAAGCTTAGATCGCAGGCAGAATTGCGTTCGTGAATCGGTCGCGGTCGTGAGGACGAGTAATGCCAACGTTGGGGCCTGCTGGGATGATTCCGAACGGGTTCAAGTGGGTGTGTGATCCGTAGTAGTGGATCTTGATGTGCTGCATATTCACGGTCTTCGCCATGCGAGGCAACTGGTAGATGTCCCGGGCGTACTGCTCATTCACAAGAGGTTCCAGTTAGTCAATAGTATAGTCGACGTGTACAATATCAAGAGTGAGGTACGTACGTTGCTGAGGTTCGGATACTGTTCGATGAGCTTCTTGTTGGCTTTGAAGTGCACGGCGTACACCTCGTCGAAGCGGACGAGCGTCGGGAACAACTTGAGGTCAGCTTCCGTGAACCGGTCGCCGACGAGGTAGCGGTGCTCCGACAAAATCTTCTCGGCGCGGTCCAGACCGGCGAAAACGTTGGCGACGGCGGCGTCGTAGAGCTCCTGCGTGCCAGCGAACCCGCACTTGTAGACGCCGTGGCTGACGTCGTTGTAGATCCAGTCGTTGACCTCGTCGATCTCCGAACGGAACTCCTCAGGGTACAGGTCTAGCTTGGAAGGCACCAGGTCATTGAACGCGCTGTTGAACATACGCACGATGTCCGCGGAGTCGTTGGAGACGATAGTGTTGTTCTTCTTGTCCCAGAGCAAAGGCACCGAGTAGGCCGTTTTCTCCGAAGTGCACTTCTCGTACAGGTCCCGAACGAAGCGCGCATTGTTGACCGTGTCGGGGGTGCAGTCCTTGGACGAGTAAGTCCCGAAACCCGTTGGTCCAGTGAGAGAAGGAGTAGTCGCAGGGTCCACAAAAGTCCACCCAGAGTGCGTGTCCTCTTCGTCGTCCGGCCGCGTTCGCTGCATCAACGGGTGAACCACAGAGAGCCCAACGATGTCGTCCAAGCCTTTCAGGTACAGAGCGCTCAGACAGCGAGACGCCTATGGGCACGCGTATGAGATGTACAGGTGATACCGGTCTTTCTCTTCAAGGAGGCAACACAAAAAGATCAATATATGTGTGTGATGGTCTACTGCAAATTCTGTGCAACTTACCAGCAGGAAATGCGGCGTTGCTGCTGCGCTCGATGAAGTTGCGGAATTTGCTCGCAGGCTTGTTCTGCGCCTTTGCCGTTTTGAAAACAAAGCCCTTGACCGACATGGCTTTTGTTTGTGGCTTGAGAGGTCTTGGCAATGTTGCTTGGAGGTAGATTGCGAAATGCAGAATGATCCTTCCGTTGCGACTTGCTCCACTTCCACCATCCCACTACGGAATACTTCATCCGGTAGTTTTTGCATCAGAAATAGCGATGTGGTAAACATTTACGGGCGCATCATCGACCAGTACTCGACCAGTACTCGTCCGTGCCGTTGGGCTTGTATTTTGCCTATTTTCGCTCGTGGTCATCACGTTGAGGCAAGAACTGGATTACGACGTATTACACAACGTAAACCAAGAAGTTAGGGAGAACAGCTTGCAACAAACAAACACAATGAGTTCCTTGATGCATAAGTTTCGTTGATATAAGACCGGTCAAGGTACAATACCCGGAACTTGCTGCTGGCACCACATTCAGCTATCGGCAGCAATCCTGTTCCCAATTCACGAAACCGGCAGTCCCCTTCGTGTGACCATGAGCTTAAAAACTCGGGAGAGCAGCATTCTTGAAGCGGTTCCGGTCGTGTGGGCGCGTGAAATCGACGCCAGGCCCCGCAGGAACGATACCGAACGGATTCAAGTGGGTGTGGGACGCGTAGTAGTGCAGTTTGATCTGCTGGATATCAACACTCTTGGTGATCGGCGGCATTTGGTAGATTTCGCGGACGTACTGAGCAAATACAAACAGAGAGTTAGCACCTCGACTCGACTCAACCAATAAAATCAATAAGCCACGCACGTTGTTGAGGTTTGGATACTGCTCGATAAGTTTCTTGTTGGCCTTGAAGTGCACCGCGTACACCTCGTCGAAGCGGATGAGCGTCGTAAAGAGGCGCAAGTCGGCTTCTGTGAACCGATCTCCGACCAGAAAGCGGTGAGCAGCCAGGATCTCCTCCGCGCGATCCAGACCATCGAACAACTTCGTCACCGCCTCATCGTACGCGTCCTGTGACGCAGCAAATCCGCACTTGTAGACTCCATTGCTGACGTCGTTGTACACCCACTCGTTGAGGTGGTCGATCTCGGATCGGAGCTCTTCCGGGTACAAATCCAGCTTGGACGGCACCAAGTCCTCGAACTCACTGTTGAACATGCGCACGATATCCGCCGACTCATTCGACACGATCGTCTTCGCCTTCTTGTCCCACAACAGCGGCACCGTGTAGCGTGTCGGCTCAGAAGCGCACAAGTCGTAGAGGTCACGGACGAACTTTGCGTTGTTCACGGTGTCGGGGATGCAGCCCTTGGACGAGTACGCGCCAAGCCCCGACGGTCCCTTCAACGCCAGCGTTGTAGCGGGGTCGGCAAAGGCCCAGCCACAGTGCGAGTCGTTGTCGTCAATCGGTCGAGTGCGTTGGAACACTGGGTGCACCACCGACAATCCGATGATACCATCCAAACCCTTGAGGTACAAGGCTCCGAGACAGCGCGAGGCCCACGGACACGCCAGTGAGACGTACAGGTGATAGCGGTGCTGCTCTAAAAGATACTCAATCCACAGAGGCATCGCATTAATCGGTCGTGCGAGAGTCTCACATAACGGACGGATATGAAATTTTGTTGAGGAAGGATCGTTTGATAGGAAGGAAGTTAGTAAGTAAGCTAACCAGCGGGGAAGACGGCGCTGCTGTTGCGCTCGACCCAGCTGCGGAACCTCGAGGCCTCGCGCTGGAACGCGCCCTTGCTGGACGTCGCCACGAAAGCCTTGGTGGTCATCGGGGGTCACCTAAGGGGGGCGAAGGGTCTCTTGGAATCTGTGCCGTCAACGGGAATAAACAACGTTGCTTGTTGCATCTAATTGGTTAAAAAAAACACTTGAAGCTTATCCGTGTTGCAGTTGCAGGGGTATTGTGGTCAATGAATTCGTGGCTCGAGGTGTTACATGACGGCGGATCAATTGATGCATTTTAGATTCTTACCCCCCCCCCCCGTCCAAAAGATACTTTTTGAGCCTTAGGAGAAACGGTTGGCTGTCGATCACTGAAGTCTGCTTCGTCGCATTCTTGCGCTAGGGGGGCAGCATGACGTTTTGAGTCAAGTGTCGCCGTGCTTGAAGTTGTCGCGCGTGCGCCAGACGACTCTTTGGCCCCGGCGTGCGGGCGTCACCGCGAGCAACATGTTCCCCCCCTCGTTCCGTGCTGGCCTCCGGTGCTCGACTAGCAGTCTGGTGGGTTCTTTTGCTTGCGATATCCACGATTTCGTTCCAAGAAGCGAGAAACGATGGCCATCTATGACGAAAGGGGACGGGGTGAGACCTCGTTGGGTGCAGCTAAGGTTGAGCACGGTCCGACCATCAACAAACAAGGCGAGGGGCTTGGTACCGAGGGCCACCTACGCCACTGTCTGTGAGGCCCTCGTAACTCCAAACGCTGGAGAGCACGGCACAGCAGCGCGCCTAGAAGAATAAGAGCGGTGGGGGGACCCACGGACCGAGGGCGGACCATCCGTACTAATGCTGCAAAGATTTTCTCGTCCACAGCGGTTGCATCGTCACTCACTTCAACTTCGTATGATATGAATGATGTAGCCATGTTGGGCGTACCCCTTCGCTGGTCGTTTCAAAACGACTATGACGTGGTTCCGCCGCTGAACGCAGAACTACCGAGCAAGCTGCTTCCTTCCGGGCATTTTGCTCGACTGACGTAGCATACCTGCACTTGCCCCGCACTTGCCCCTTGCAGCGCCAATGAGCGCGCGCGCGAGTTTCAGTGGCTGGTCAAACATGCCAGGGCGAGGCTGGATTCTCCGCGCCTTTCGCGACGTCCTCGGCGGTTGAGAGAACTGATCTCCCCACAATCGTTAGCCTCGCCACGGACAGATCAGCGCCAAGGGGCCACCACCACCGTAGCGGCTTTCCTGTGCTGGCCATAAGCACCAAACGGCGCCGTTGCTCGCTCCACTTGCACCATGCGACAGCCTTCACGGGGCTCGGAGAGTGGCGTTGATAAAGCGCAACGCTGGGGGCCGTTGCAAACCTCCACACTGTTTGCAGGACTATCTTGAGCCAAGCCCCAGCCTCGGCACGTTGGGGGGCAGCGTTTCAGCTTCAAAGGACACAGGCTCGCCTCAGAACTCCACCGCCAACGCCAACACCTCATTCGAGATTTGACCTTGCACGCCGCAGGTTGTGTACACTCATCGCAGCAACAGGCCCAACAGGAAGGTCGGTCACGCGCGACGCGATGCATATCCACCACCACAAGTCATCGAAATCCCCAGAGTTCAAGAACCCATTCGCTCCACTGCAGCTAGCAGCGGAAGATGAAGCGCAACTCGAGGCCGTTGCTCGGATCTTCGTGCAGAACACCGTTGTCCAGTACGAGAAGTTCATCGAGCAGGACCGTCGAAAGGTAGACGGCAACCACTGGAAGTGCATCAAGCACGAGCGCGACCTGCGCGTGTTCCTCCAGCGCCGACGGAAGGACGTGGAGCGCCGCATGCGCCGCCACATGCGACTGCGTAGCTTCCGATATCGCAGTTCCGAAACAGCCGAGTTCTCCGACGCCGACACGTACACGCCCAGCATCGGCAGTCGTGACAGCAGTTGCAGCAGCGTCTCAAGCTTCTTCAGCCGCCGAACAGGCAGCTTTACGAGTAACTACAGCAGCACCAACAGCTCCGATAGCAGGTCCACCACGATCAGCAGCAACAACAGCTCCGACATTGCCGCGGGAGCCACGACGCTGATGGGCGTCGAGTTGCCGGTTCTTCAGCTCGTGGGGTCCGTCCCAGGCTCACTGGACGACGCGATGTTCGGCGCGATTGGAGCTTCCGCGGACGCGATGCGCGTCAAGAGCGCATACGAACGCGAAAACATCACGGACGGCGCAGTGCTGGCCACGATCACCACACCAACAACCGCGGATCCGTTCCGGTCGTTGACGATCAAGTGGGTCGAGCAGGAAGGCCCGACAATCGACCACCTCCGGTACCACCCGCTGCACTACCCCGTGACGCTCCCAGGCGCAAGCACACGAGAGGATCTAATCTTCTTGGAAGCTACGGGGACCACGACGCTGGCTAATGGAGACCGTATCGGTTTCCAGCTGCGTCACTCGGTGCACTTCCCTCAGACGCACATCCGCCACAACGTCCGTCGAGGAAACATGTCGACATGCACACTCTTCCGTGACGGTGACGCCACCACCATCGACGCTGCTGAAGGTCCGTGCCGCGGATCAGTTGAGGTGTTCGCCCGTGCTTGTCTGAGCGGCGGAAACGCAGCAGTCCGATCCACCACTCAATCTATGGCTGCAACGGGGAACGTTGTGCTCTGCGGCCGTATGAAGAAGCTCGCGTGGATGCTATCGCAGCGCCAGCCACCCGTCCAGCAGTTGATGGGGTACGTCGCTCAGCAGACCAGCTTGGCGGGTCTTACCCGATCGCTCCCTTCACAGAAGGCTCGACACGGGTCTCTCACCGTGACGGTCTCCGCTGCGGCCGCTGCTGCTGGGTCAGCAACCGACAGCAAGCTGTGCGTCACCTGCAAGAAGCGCGGTCCGTGGTTCAGCGCCCACGGGAACAAGAAGAAGCCGGCGACCACGTGCCAGTTGTGCTGGCGGTATGTGTGCTCGTCCTGCCGCCTGAAGAAGACCGTCATCAGCTGCGTGACCGACCCGCGTCGCGACGATCGTCTCACCACTCACGTGATCCAGCGGGAGGTGACACTCTGCAACGTGTGCGTGCACCAGTCCATGGTCGCCACCAGCGCCCGCGACGTCGCGCGCGAGGAGATCGAGGCCGACCCCAAGCGCTGGCGGTTCCCGTCGCCCATGCACAACCGCGAGCGATCCTCGGACGGATACCTGCAGGCCCACCTGCTGGCCCAATTGGCCGCCTCTTCTCGCGGCACCAGCGCGCTCCGACCCGTGGCCTCCGCTCTGTCGATGCGCTCCGAGTTGGCTGTGAACGAACTTTTCCAGCGTTGCGCATGACCCACCAGCATGAACGCAAGCAAAGTATACAATATTGTCGTGGATTGGCGTCTCGGAGGGCCGAAGTGAAGGCCCTTCGACCGTGATGGCGCCATCCACTTGCCCCCTTAACCAACCCAACCTTGTAGTTACGAAGTAGAAGTAACAACCATTGAAAATGATCAAGTAAGTACGTACGCACGTAAGTAAGTCTCTCCTCGAGCAGCTTCAACTGCCCTCTTCAAATCCTCCGAATGTCGACTACCTAGTAGTCTTAGATGATCTGGCCACTCCACGTGCGCCAACGTAAGTACAGGATGCGAAGAGTACTCATAGTAGACGAGGTCAGAGCAGGAGCTGGCTTACAACGTTGGACATGGATACCTCCTCTCACGCAAGGCCAACCAGAGCGCACGCGAGGAGCACCGGCTCATTATCAAACATGCTTCCCGGTAGCCATTTCAAGGGATGTTAAACATGACGCCCACTGTCGCAGACTCCAGTCCAACTCGCGCATCAATTGGCAAAAAGTCGTCGCCGTGCCATGGCCTTCCAGCTGCTCGAGGCCGACGACGACGAGACCTTCTCGGAGGTGCTGGCGCTACTGGACGAGTACAACGCCGCCTTCGCAGAGCCCCCGGGCCCGCACGCGCACCGAGCCAAGAAGCACGGCGCCTGCTCCGCGCGCGTGCTGGAGAGCGCAGCGTGGGCGGCCTTCGAGGCGGCGCACCCCATCACCAAGACCACGAGCAAGCACCGCAACGGCGCGCGCGAGATGCGGCGGCGCGAGGTCCAGTTCCTGCGCACGTGCGTCAAGGGCCTGGAGACGCAGCTCAGCGCCGTCAAGGAGGCGGCGGAGCAGCGCGCGCAGCTGCGCGACGCCACGGCGGGCCTGGGCAGCGGCTCCACGGCGCTCACCAGCGTCTGGAAGGACCTGGCCACGCGCCAGCTGGACCAGCGCCTGGCCTCGGAGCGCGAGAACAGCCGCCTCAAGTGCGCGCTCGAGGACCAGAAGAAGCTGCGCGAGATGCTGCAGCGCGCGCTCAACACGCGCGTGGCTCGGAGGGTGGGAAATACCTTTTTTACATTTTTTAAGCCTTTTTACTAATATTTTATAATATTTCTGTGCTACAGGTGATGGAGACGAACGTGACACAGGAGAAGAGGACGAGAAGAGTGCATGGCGTGCCGTTGGAGTTGTCGGATCAAGATATTTTCCAGGAGTTGGAGATTGGGGTGGACGAGGTGTACCAAGAAGCGGCGAGGGTGTTCTACCGAGTGGACGCTGGGGAGGGCCAGTGTATTGGCGTGTTTGGAGATAAAACGCTGCCCTTTGATCTGCATACGACGGCCGACGCGGCGTGGAAGTGTCTGGCGCACACGTTCCACCACGACAAGTACAGCTTCTCGTACAGTCGAGAGAGGCGGTTAGATGGCACCGGCGAGGTGGTGCACGACGACTCGGTCGGGGAGAGCTTCGGCGTGGAGATCAACGCGCCCGAGAGGATGGCGGACTTCCAGATCAAACAGGTCTTTCGACGATATGTGGAGGCGGACAGGATTGTGCTGGCCTGGAGGTCGTACATTGACCCGGCGGAGTTTCAGGGCAAGAAGTTGCAGGGCTTCCGCTTCATTGAGAAAGGGTCGATGGTCATTCGACAGCCGCCTACGAAGCCCCACACGCTCACGAGCGACTTTACAAAGCTACGTATCTGGCACGTCATTACCCCAGAAACGCTGGCTAGCACGTCAGACACCAGTCCGCAGTTTGTGCAGGACCTGACAGATTTTGTATTGGGCGGATCATCCTCGGCAAGCACCGTGCAGATGATCGAAAATATGCTGATTGAGCAGTCTAGAGGGAACGACACACACTTTTCAGTGTGACGCGTACAGTACTGTTGACAATTCTCCATGTATTGTGTTAATTGTGGCCAAGAATTTCATCATGTAAACTGCTGTGGGAATTGATCGCGTAATGTCCGATCCATAAAGTCGAGCGCTCGACTCGGGAGGCAGCCACGAAGCACGAGCTCCGTCATGTCCTGGACGAGCTTCTTCCGGTCGCCCTCGGCAGCAATATCATTGATGTCTCCGGTGATCGTTTGCCATGTGTGGACGATGGAGGCGGGTTGGTTCGACCCGAGCGATTGCTGCTTATACGGCTGCACGACGAGCGCGCCCTTCTCCTCGAATTGAACTCCATCGATATTCTCGCCCTTGAAGATATCCGGAGTAAGGATCGCTCGCCAAGCGACCATAACGCGCCGCAACCTCGTAGCGACGAACGATTTGCTTCACCTTGAAGTTGAAGAGATGCTCCTCGCCAAAACTTTCGACGATGGTATCGTCACGTACAATCCCAAAAGGCTACACGAAGTGTCAGTACCATATTCACACAACACCTAAGAAGCTTTAACTAGACTGTACCTGAGTAGTTTCCGTGTGGTAGTAGTATCGCGTCGTTGGCCGCCGAAATGAGTGCGCAAAGTACTGCCAGGCTGCATCCCCCGTCAATTCCACGCTGTACGGGAACACTCTGTCCGCGAACAACCGCGGGTGGGCGTTCTTCGCGTTAGGGAACAGCGTCACGTCCGTAATTGTTCCAGGAACTGTGAGCGAGAACACTCGGAGCACTTGCCGGTGCACAAAGTCAATCGTCCCAGCCATGTCTCGAAAGAGCGCGCTGTCGTTGATACCCATTGGCACGGGATACTGACGTTTGCAAGGAAAAGGGTCTGGCAGTCGCTCAATTGTCTGTTCACCATGTCAAAACGACGTCATCAGCAAGATAAAAAATTCTAAAACATATAAAAATCGGTAACCTATCGTTGTGGTCAGATACAGAAAGGACCTGATCTGTGGTCGGGTTTCATGCATTCTAGGCATTCTGGGGGTTGTACCCCCCAGACCCCCGCATAAAGAAAACTAACTCCGAGTTGCGGCAACGTGTCCGCTCGCCGGAATGCTCGGCGCTGGGCCCTGCTTCGCGCGGGTCGCAACCGCTCGCTTCCGCTAGAACATGTGTTTTCCTCTGACCAAAAGCATACAAAAACTCATATAAAATACCAGGTCCGTTCTGTATACGACCCATTTGAGATTCTTCCTAAAAAATCAAATGATAAACTCGTACCTCGACGTTGCTCTGCCTACTAGGCAGTGCCTAGTGTGGAGATGTTGCGCGTCGTGATTTCGTTGTGCTCTTGAATGAGCTGGCGTAGTCGTCGGTTCTCCTCTTCCGAGCTCATCCGAGTTTGGCGCTGGTGCATGGCCATCTTCTTCCACAGCTCCATCGTCTGCTGCTTCCCCACCGTCATGGCGTTCGGGTCGGTGTTCTCTATCTCAAGCCGCAGCATCTTGAGACGCTTCTCCAGTAGCGGGACCTGCGCGCGCAACTCCTGGAGCTCCTTGGATTGCGCCTCCCGAGCGCGGTTGGGATTGTAGTTCCGCTTCTTTGTCATCTTGGGAGAGGTCTTCTTCACGGCCGCCGCCTCCTTAGCTCGGGCCTTGTTGACACTACCGCATTCGTCCAGTAGGGACATCGCGGCCTCCAGCACTTGGTCGTCCTCCACGAGCTCCATCTCTTCCTCTTCACTCTTGGGACAGGCTATTCTGGAAATGACCAACCAAACAGTGTGGGACCCACCAAACTTCATACTCTGACCCAGCTATGACTCATCCTCGGTGATAGTGTGCCTCTAATACAATAATTGTGTTATCTTTTTTTTCTTAGCTACTAGTATGTTGTTGGCCCGATGACCACTCGCTTTCGATAAGGTTTTCTTAGCATTTAATTTTAATTAGATGCTAAGAAAACCTTATCGAATTCTCTTAGGTATTTATCAAAAATAGGTGCCAACTGCTGTTGGTCTGTTGCCATTCAGGAGTGCGTATGCACGTCGAGACGGCGTCTTCGAAGGTTCATGCTGACCAAAATGCGTCATCGTTGCCCATTGAAGCGACTCGACGCCTTTCCAGTCCGATGATCGTCGGCCTGCATGGCGGAGGAGTAATGATCAGCTCTCGAGAGCAATCAAACCGCATCAAAGCTGCGAGTAGTTTGTTTCCCGACGAGGAGCATTCGTACGAGCCCCGAAGACACGTTCGCTTCGCCGCTCTCAGTCGAAATGCGCTGCCGTATGCTGAACCTGTTTGTCGCCAACGAAAACCAAGAAAATCTCCTCCGAAACGCAAGATTGTACCACCTCCGCAGCCAGATTCTACTAAGGTTAACTTTCCTATTTCTCCAACAGTCCAAGCGCTACGAAAGAAGAACGTCCGTAAGTCACCGAAGAAGACAAATGAAGAGAGAGCCAAGTACCAAACTGTTGTGCGTGAAGCATACAGTGAAGATCCGGATGCGCGCGAATTATGGGGATTTTCCATGCGGTACTCCCCGAAGAAGCAATTAGAAGCTCAATGGCGCGCGACCGAAGAGCACAAGCAGCGAGCTTTACTCGAGAAACAGGAAGAAGTTACGCGTCAGAATGAAGTCGCTCTTCGAACCGAGAAAGCTGCGATTTCCGGGGAAGTTGACTACGCAGAGTACTTATATCTGGCCAGCTTGTACGGCCCGCTCGACGCTTTACTCTACTGCTGCTGCCCTCCTGGAACTCATGGTCGTATCTATCGACTGCTCGTGGACGTTAGCGCTCGTCGACTGCAACGTTGGGCTCCTAAACGAGTGGCCGCGTTGCGACAATATTGGATTGCTTATTTGGCTCGTGAAGTGAGCTCGAACAGTGTTGCAGAAGGTCTGGAGTCGATAGTACACAGCTTCCACCAGCAACGCCAAGCCACCGCGTTGTTCCAGCGTCTTCAGCTGCTTCGTGTAGCAATCGCCCTCCACGCCTGGCGTCGTTACACTGTGCGAATGTATCATCTTCGTGAGAAAATGCGTTTAGCCTTGGCGAAAGACCTCGAAACACGCTTCTATCAATGGCGAGAGAACGTGGAGGCGCAAAAATTATTCCGAAGACAACTCAAGCACATTGCGCGACGGAAGATGCATTCGAACAGTGGCAAGTCTGGCGTACTCAGCACGAAAAAATACGTTGCCACCTCGTACAGCAGTGACTCAAGATGAAACACAAGATCTGGAGCGCGTGGCGTCTATTTGTACGGTGGAATCGAGCCGCTGAAGTGCTACAGAGGTCGTGGAAGTTGTAGGTATGGAAGAAACAACGTGACCGGAGTTCGAGGTCGATCGGGCGGGTATACCGTGGTTGGAAAGCTCGTCAAAGAGTTAAAAAGTTACGAGAAGAAATGGAAATCCACAGCGTGTTATTACGAGTGGTGAATATAGTAGTATGGGAAAATCAATGCGAGTCCTTGGTCAAAATGAGACAAGACCTGTTCGAACGGAATCTCGCTAGAGCTCGAGAAGCAGCTGAGGTTGTTGCCGCTGCTGAGGAGAAGGCTTCGCTGGTGGTCGATGCCGAGTTGTCCAAAGTGCTGCGAAATGATATGCACCGGAAATTGGAGCGTCACCTATCGAGTATCAAGAAGGACGAAATTGCGGTTCCATTACAAGCAGTAAAGAGCAGCAACAGCCTTCGACGTATTGCCACTCAGCGTCTTGTCAATGAGCAGCGAGCTTTGGCGAGACAAGAATCAATCGAGACTTTTCGTATATACAAGAAATCTTCGAGCATAAGTCCGTGTATTATCTGTGAGACATACACCGATTGTGCAGATCTGGACAAGCTTCAGTTTTCAGACCAGCACAAATGCTTGAGCGACAAGGCAATTTTAGGAGATGGAACCGTACGGAGGTTGGCATTTGGGAAGACGCCGCAAGATCTGAACTGGCCAAACTTGAGCAGCGCGAGCTAGGATACACGCAGCAACTGCGTACAAATCGTTGATTTGGCGATCATTGGCTAAAACTTAATAAAACACGAGCATTCTGCGTGACCTCATTCAAGGAAATCAAATGAAGTTCAATACCTAAGTTCAGCGCTCACACTTTTTTCATGAGTCTTACGCTTGCGGGTGCAGAAGCAGAAAATACTGAAGGTACAACTTCGTATGGTCTTGATACGACTTCACAAGCGTCCTGATGTGGTCTGCTTTGAATCCGTTTTGTGCCCACTCGTTGAATTTCGCAGCCTTCAAGGTTTTGTCGCCCAGCATCTCTGTCAATATCTTGCGGCTGAAGTCGTTCGAGGTGGTGGCAAGCGCTCTCGCTTCATTGTTGTACTCGGGAGGAATGAGTGAGAGTTTCCCTCCCCTCAGAAGTCTCGCGTGATTAGTAGAAACCAAGCTTGGTTTCTCATGGCTTGATCGACCCACTCCCATGGCCTTGCCGCAGTTTAAGAATACGAGGACAAATATGGTCGTGAAAGCGTACAGGAAGCGCATACTTGCCAGAGCGTGAAAATTCGGGTCGAGGAGTTGCGGTTGGAGCGGTCCGCATACGCCTTCGCCAGAGAATGGGAAATGAAAGCTGAATCAGGGAATACGGAGCAATGAATTGCTTGGTTGGAGGTAGCCTCCCACAAATTCAACGGTACGACAAGCAGTTTGGATTATGGTTTTGTTTCGAATGTTCATTTTCAAGGGGTCCAAGACGATTTGACGCCAACAGATTCACACTGTCAAACAGAAGTACTGTACCTGAACTTATGTTACCAAGCACACCTTGGGCACTTCGTACGGGACTACCGTACTCGTACCGAGGTGGCTATGGCTACGGACACTGCCTGGGCAGCAGCAAACGCTGGACACAATATATCGCCCACCTTTGATTCGCGTTGGGCAAGTTGAAGATGACTAAAATATCATTTAGAACAGTTCAGATACGTATTTGGAGCGAATCGAGCTATTGGACAGTACAGATAAGTACTAGTAGTATCTCTAAAACGAAATCTGAAGCTTTAACACGTTGGTTGTATTGCATTTTGGGTAGCACCAAGGCTTCCTGACGTGATACTACGGAGGGATATGACCCATCCTCTTCTATCTAGCCACCTTCTCGACAAGTTTTCATTTCTAGCTGATGGTGGTTTCAGGCCTCCTCGATGAAATCTGAAACCATCACCAACAAACCTGAAAACCGTGATTGGATTGATGTTGCGCTCGCTCAACCTTGTGAGAGAGACTACTGAGTGGTAATGGCTTCGTCCATCATCCAGCCTCCGCGCGGCCCCCACTCTCTCACTTTCCAATTCGCCACTCCACCACTAAACCGACCGAGCCCACACCCGAGCTGGCCTCCGCGATCAACATGCACTCCAAGCTCCTCGCCGTGCTCAGCCTGTGCGTCGCCGCCTCCATGCTGCACGTGGCCGACGCCGGTGCCGCTCCTGCAGGCCTCTCGCCGCACCGCCACCTCGGCGCCAACCAGAAAGACTATGGACACCACCCGCGCCGCCACGACCACGACCACGACCACGATCACCGCAAGAAGCACCGCCACCACGATCACGACAAGTACTACCGTCGCCGTCTCGAAGACGCCAAGAAGGCCACCGAGTCCTCGGACTACGACGACGGCAAGGATGACTACGGCAAGGACCGCAAGGACGACTACAGCTACGGCAACGATGACTACGGCCACCATCACAAGGACGTCTACGAGTACAAGGGCTGCGACGACTACGGCTACGGCCACGGCAAGGATTACTATGGCAAGGACTACTACGGAAAGGACTACTACGGCAAGGACTACTACTATGGCAAAAACTACTACGGCAAGGACTACTATGGCAAGGACAACTAC